AGTAAGATTATGAATGGTATTTGACATATAAGTCTAATGGTTTCTTTTATACTAACAAGGAAACAAACTATATAATTGATTCATTGGCAAAAATAAGGGTGAATAAGGAGGTTGAGTTGTTGGTTTGGGTATTAATGTATTGGTTGAGAACATAATTTGTTGTATTATGTGTTTTGTGATTTTTTTTCCTTAGTTTATTATGTTTGATAGTGCATTTAGTACTTTTTATGTTTGTTGGTGTATTTTGCTTCTTATTTCTAAAAAGTAGGGTAAGGTTGCTGACCCTCTATAACGTATAAGGGATGCAAAGAATGGTGATGTTTTATTATGCTCTACATTTAATTTAATGATATTATCTGCTCATGGTTATTAATTTCATACTCACTTCTAAAATGAGCTTCTAAAAAATGTTTTTAATTAAGTATAATGTTGTGTGGCAGGTTATATATCGAATGGATGACGTCAATATAGTTATTTTTTAAGGATGACCATCTTGAAACACTAGATAATAACTTGGTATATGACACTTCTATTGTTATGGGGGGATGTTTTCTTGTCCTATTTCTTTAGGATTGGAATTCTAATCATCTCATGACACAATTATGGCTAGAACAATTATACCTTTTTACCTTTTATAAGATTTCCTATTTTTTGAAAGTTTATTTTTTTAAAGCTTCACATTGGCCAATTAAAGTTTCAACAAATTTGCAATATCTTAATATTAAGGCTTTGTCTTGAGCTTAATGACTTTCGTCTCCTCCGACTTACTTTTATGATGATTATCTGAGTATGAAATATTATTTGTGATGTTTCTTCTTTTATATAGTTTAGGAGTTTTATTCTGGGAAGGACAAGGGGTGGCACTTTGACTATGTTAGTGCGACCTCTGGATTTTGGTTTAACAATGAACCGGTTTCTAATGTGCTCATTTACTCTCCATTTTGCTTCTGATGCTTTTTTTTTACGTGATTTATGAGTTTTATTACTTTTTATTTTGTGTTGTTTTATTTACTACCTCCACCGTATAAAATCTTTAGAGAGACATTCTTTTATAGGAATAAAACTCCAAAGTTAGAGGAGGTTAGAACATCCTTGTATTTTAAAAAGTTTTTTAATAATAAGCTCTCTTTAAGCCACATTAACATTCAGTAAAGAATCTTGTTGTTGGAGGAATTTGTACCAAAAAAAGTTTTAGCACCATACCAAAAACAAAGAAACATGAATTTGGTTTGTAACCACGGGAGGAAAAAAGGGCACATCAAAGTTGATTTCCTTAATCTT